CCGTCACGTGATGGTGCAAAGCCTCTATAGTCCCTTTTGTCATTCCGTTAATACCGCTGTGTTTTTTTTGACTGAAGACTCATCTGCACAGGCTTAGCCTCGCTTAAGAGCAAATCAACTGTAATGTAAAGAAAAGCAGCTTGAACAATACCAATGTTCTATGACTTATAAACGAGGTTAAAGGCGCGATGACACGGAGCAATTTTCTCTGCAACTTGTCTCGCAAGAGCGTTGCGACACAAGTTGCCCGAGTGTTTACACGGTGAAACGGAGACGCAATCGTTGCCAAAAGTAGAAACGAATTCTACTTTCTGCAACGATTGCTGCAACTTGTCTCGCAACATTTTTCTGATTGTGCTGTAGTTTACACGCTGCAAATCCCCATGCAACTTGTGTCGCAACGCCGTTGCGAGACAAGTTGCAGAGAAAATTGCTCGACTTATCGCACCTTAMGCCTGTGCAAATGAGTCTGTGGTATTCAAAAACAGCGGTATGCATGGAATRCGCCCTTCACGAATAAAACCCCTCGGCTCAGGCATATTGAAAGAGGAATCTTATTCTCAAGAGAATGACATGTGGTCTGAAMTGGGAAAACATTACGCYCTAGCCGAAGAGGTCTATTCAAGATTGATTTTTAAAAAGCTTAATATACTTGTATTTTTGTATCAGCTTCTTCAAGGTACTATCGAACAGCTACTACCAGTATCTTACCAGAACAGCGACCAGGTAATCCGTTTGTACTTCAAATACAGCTATTTCGAAAAMGTTGGTGAAGGTCTTGTTGCATGTCGCTTACTAAGCTTGAAATGCAMTACATTTATCCGTGAATAATCTCAGCACAGAAGAAAATATGCCGAAAACACGTGCAGAAAAAATGACCTTTCGCTGATTATATTCACATGCAGTTTGGGCTTGGTATGCAACATGCAACGTGCAACATGCAACGTGCAACATGCAACATGCAACATGCAACATGCAACGTGCAACATGCAACATGCAACAAAACCTTTACCAACAAATAGCTGTATTCAACTATTTTTGGACATTCTACACTACACACTCACTACCACTACATTTAGGCCTGGTTTACAGGAGCAACGCAAATGCGGACAAATTAAGATACACAAGCATAATAGTGATTGTTTGCATCAAAAGCAGTTTAGAACGCAAACACAAATGCAAAAAATGGAATTATAAAATGACTGTTTATAAATCTCGCATTCTGATTGGTTGTGAGCGCGTGCTTTATGAGAGCATACAGCACGCATGCGCACTTTGCATAAAAGAAATAAAAAGCTTGCTTGCTGTGCTGTGTGGAATTATAAAGCACTTGGGGATTGGCAGAACACTCGAGAAGTGTCGAGAAGTACTCCGCTACGAGTCGTGCTTCTCCTAACACTTCTTTCGTGTTCTGCCAACCCCCGCGTGCTTCAGTTATAACTGCACACAGCACGCGCGCGCGTTTTCTATTTCTTCAACAGTACACGAAAACTTTTTCATTTTCTTGTACTATTGTGCTTGCATTTACATCTACGTTTGCGTTGCTCTTGTAAACCAAATCTCAACTGACATGTTGGTCTTGCGGAGGTAAAAAACTGGAGAAAAACGGCCTCGTGGCAAGGAAGAGAACAACGCATCAAACAAACTCTACTCACGTGTGGCGTCCATCGAAATCAAACCCGCGACTCAACCCTTAACTCTGGTTCTACTAGCGACGCTGCAAGCACGGAAACAACTCCATGATCCCACTATGAAAAATTTAAGTTACTTGACGGGCCACGATACCAGAACAGGAGCTTTATAATGAGAATTATCATAAATATTTCTATGTGATTTTTCGATAAGAATTCATAAAATCGATTTTTCTCCTCTTTGAATGTAAAACTGGCTTTTCAATTTTACGGAATTTGCGTTTTTCAAATTTTGTCGACCGTCAAGTTGGATGCGCACGAAACCTTGAGAAAACGGTCTATTAAAATTGGTCGCCATATTTCAATTCCTTGTATTATTAAATTCACTTCCCATTAATGTTAGAAACAGTCAATCTATTAATGATTTTAAAAAGCAACTCAAGACATATCTTTTTAGGTTAGCTTATTTTAAGTATAGATCTTTTTAGAATTTAGTTTTTTG